CAGTTTGTCCTTCATGAGCCTTCGTAGACAAGATGGCGGTTGCCTGTAGTGGCGACCTGCGACCATGGAGATATGAACAGCTTTTTATAAGGTAAAACTAATAAAACAAGGTCTTTGTCTGCAATGATTAGACGTTTTTTATTATCTTCATTAGTGATTATCTCAATTTCGGCTAAAAGAATTGACAAAATCCTACACACTGTGCCTTTAATGCGCAAAATAAGAGATGGAAACACATTTGCTGAATAAGTTCTGAAATTTTAAAAAATTGCTAAAAATTTGCATTAAAGTTGGACGGAAACACGACCAATGTCGCTGCTACAATTGAAAAAAAAAATGGCACCTCGAGTTGTTGTTGTAAAGGCAGTTCAGCCTCAACCAGTGACTCCACCCCCTAGCCAATCAGTGACGAACGGTGTTCTGACATCATATTTTGGTGTCGACTGGGACCACTTGGAACCACTGATTCCAAGAATCTGGACTAATGGAAATGGCTTGGAACCATACCGAACCGTACCGACACTACACTAAGTGGCACTAGTGGAAAAGGGGCATAATTCAATGCCACAGGCATCACACAGACCATTGTCATAGAGTCCCATCACCATTTTGTGGCGGTTGAGCAGATTGTGCCCAGTTAGGACTCCAACCAATGTACTTAGAGTTTTTCTTGTCAGGGAGATGAGAGTTTTCCCAAACCTTAGATTTGGGCTGTTAATCAGTTCCCGTGCCTGTCTACAGTCCGTCAGCTCCCTCCAGAGGATTGAGTGTTGACGTCTAATCCAGGCCTGTAGGGCAGTCCTACAGACTGTATGTCCTGGTTCCCATTGAACAGTAACACTGTTATCTCTCTCTAGTTGGATGATGCTTCGGCACACTCCCAAGCCAAGAGTGATGTAAAGTGTGGCCCTTGGTGAGCTCTAACAGCAGCTTCGCTATCTGTTAGGATGAATACTTCCATCTGTGTACACTGAAGGTCTTTGAGAGTCATCACACACACTTGTGAGATATGTCCATCGTAAAGACATTATGCCAGACAGACCTGTCTTCTATCTCTGTCTTAAAACTTGGCTCAAAATTGTATTTTTTGACCATTCTGTCTCCAGATCCTGCAGTTACTGGAACAGCAGCAACTGCCCAGTCCCAGATTCTAGTGTGCTGTGAGTCAGATAGGTTTTTCCACCTACCAGACTGATGTAGCCTTACTGCACTGGATGCAGCCTCCCCTAAGATATGTAAGTCTAGTGGAGCCAGGTCCAGTAGGACTTACATGTCTGCCGTGGGTGTTGTTCTGATGGAACCTATGATGCTCAGGCAGGCCATTCGTTGCACATGGGTGAGCATCACTCTTGCCACCCCAACTTGGACTCGAACCCACCACACTAAAGCAGTATAGCATAGCATGGGGTGGACTATGGCTGTGTAGATCCATCTGATACCCTTTGGGGTAGCACCCCAACGACTACCTGCAATTCTACAGCACTGATGTAGGCAGATTGCTGCTTTCTTACACTTTTCATTTACTTGTCTTTTTCAAGCTTCCTGTCTAGATAGACACCTAAGAATTTACACACACTAGCAGTGTGTGTCTGTGTACAGTGTTGTTTTAACTGCATATATCTGATTAACATCGGAAAAATGTAAAATGGCATCAGTCGTAGTTTTTCTACTCTTAAATAGATCTCTACTGCAGAATATACTAACTATTCAAAACAGCTACAGTAAAAGTTTAGGCAATAGTTCTGATGTAAAATAAAACTCCCAGCAGCTGTGAATCCCAAAGTTATTTCTTGAATTATGCTGCAAAAATACCACAACAATAATGGTGAGCCAGCTGGGAGAGTAAGGGTAAAATAATGGACAGTAGGACAGACGCTTGTTTTGTCTGTGAATTGTCTCACCAGTGCATCCCCCTCGTCCTCATGATGCAGGAGGGACTCCTTCAATCTCAAGGTGGTGTGCTTGTGATCTACATCGTTCTGGAAGTGCTGTTTACTAAAGTTATAAAAAGAAAACAAGCCACTCTCATCATCAAACTCATCATAAAACTCCTCGTCGTCTTCATCGTCCATTGAGATTGTTGGGGTTATTGATGGAGAAGCTGGAGTAATGACAATTGCCATAGAGGGCGCTGAGCTCTTAGAGGGTTGCTCATCTGGCTCTTCAATAGCCTATGCAGGAGATACAGAAGTAATATGAGACACTATTGACAATAAGACACATCAACAAACAAAAATTATCACCTAACCTGAAACTGTGGCTGGATGGGTAGAAATGATGACTTTTGTTCGGGTTTTTGTTCGTCTTCAGCCTCGGGAAAAACGAGTTCTTCAACCAGGCTTTCCACAGAAATGCATCGTTTTCTTGGCTCCATCAATTCCGGCTCATCACCCGATTCTGGTTCTTTGTTTTCTTGCTCAGAAACAACTCGTTGCAGTCGCTGCTGAAGTTCTGCAACCATCTGTTCTTGGAGAAGTGCCTGTTCTGCCAATTGTTGCCTCGTTTTTTTATAGTCTTTCCTTACCAAATAGCCCCGCACCTAGTCCATCAGAAAAAAGTTTCAAACATTAAAAAATAATAAAAAAGACTGCAAAGAAAATACAGACACATGTATAATAATAAAATATTTAGAATTTCTATTAAATCTGGGGTTGGCTGTGGGGCAGAGGTAGGGGTAGCCAACTTGAGACCAGAAAGTCACAGGTTTGACTCCCCTCCATGCTCACGCCATGGTATCCTCGAGCAAGACACCTAGCCTGTTGACTTTTCAGTTCTAAGGCTTTAAGATTTTAAGTATTAGGAAAAAAATATATCTGGTCTTTGATAGGACATAAAATTGTTCAAAAGTAACCTAATTTTACAAAAACCTGTACCAGATTCAACATTACTTGTTACCAGGGCCGTGTCTAGAATTCTTTCTTGGCGTGGGGGGAAGGCGGGGGCACAAACTGCAGATGGGTGGCACACTAAAATTGCTTTTCTGTCGAAATTCCATGCAGTCTGCAATGAACAGTTTGACACAATTTGAATAATAAAACATTTTATTTACCCAAATATAACATGTGTTTTGCAAGCTAGAACTGTGCAGTCAATTCAAATCTGGGACCGTAGAGTCTGATTTTTTATTTTATTTTACTGTTATTTTACCAGGCAAATCCCATTGAGATCTCAGATCTCTTTTTCAAGGGAGGCCTGGGCCTGAAGGCAACCTATTGTACATGTTTTTGTGTTGTGGGGGAAACCGGAGTACCCGGAGAAAACCCACGCAAGCACGAGGAGAACATGCAAACTCCGCACAGAAAGACCCCAGGTCCGAACCGGGGATCGAACCCAGGACCTTCTTGCTGTGAGGCGTCGGTGCTAACCACTGAGCCGTCGTGCCGCCAAATGATGGAGCCCTTTAGGTTTTTGACATGTAAGATGACCTCTCCTGGGAAGTTTAACTGTATTAAATGCATTTAGCTGGTGAATAATCCTTCAATCTGCAGACCAACAAACTCCATTTAATAATTTGGAAGTGACGTTTAACCCTTTCTGGACTAATAAGCAGCAACAATTGCTTCTCTAAGAACATTGCAGAAGTCTTTCTACAATGTGTTAAACAACAGTATGATCTGCTTGACTTTACAGATACTTATTACAAATGATCACACTGATAATGAGTTAATCAACGCATCTGAGCTGCAACATCTGGCAGAGACTCTCTCTAAAATCCTACAAAAGCAGCAAGAGAGGACTTCGTTTTTTCCATGTTGGCTTTATTTTTGTTTAGCAAGTAATAGCACTATGGAATCTGTTGTGTGTTTTTGTACACTTGAGGTTAAGTTGAAGTAATCTTAGAATCTGGTAAAGACCATATCAGTTTTATTATGTCCTATAAAACCATGGAGTTTAGGGAGGATGGATTTTCTCCTCCCATGACAGGACATACAGTATTTTTAGCTTGAAAAATAAATACTGGTTGCATCAGACCATTTCTTCTTGTTGTATTAAAATGTTACATACACTGCATTTAATATTTGGGAACTTGCCTGTGTCTGCATGATGATCACTGCTTTTCGCTGTTTCTGGTATTCAGACTGAAGCTTCTGACTTCGGATTGTTGACACCAAACGTGCAAAACATTGCTGAAGCTAGTAGGATCAGAAAAAAAGAAAAAGCATTTAAGATGAGCTTCCCAAAGCCCTGCAGGTGAGATTATTGTTAGCCACAAGCTCTGAATCCTAAAAGATGCTGTAAAACATCACACCTTTTTCAGATCCATCCTCTGTTTGTAAGCTCTCCAATTTTTTTGCAACACCAAAGCTGCCCGTCGCTTCTCCAGGAAAGACTTCCTGAAAAAAAAAATTAGCTCAATAAATAAACAGTTTGCTCAATCACTATCTCGCGTGTCTTCTAAAGCAACACTGCACTTGTTTGAGCTACACATGTCACAATAAAAGCACACTATCTGTAGATGTGGTGTAGTGATATGGATATCTGTTATTGCAGGGAAAGATAAAGCTAAAGGACATTGAGAGGTGCTCATTGAAATCTCTGTTCAGGATCTCTTATTTCCACTTTACTTTTCACACTCCAGGAATCACACCTGTGTTTGTGTCCCAGCATGACCCTCTGGATCACCACAGCCACCCTGCTCAGCTCTTCTTCCCGCAGTTTCTCCAGAGCAGCATCATGAGCATCCTGGTCAAAAATTACAAAAAGCTAATTTGATTTGGCTTATTTTGATTAAATAAAAAAACTAAACAAATGAATTGGTGAGTTAATGAAAAATAAAAACCCTCCAAATCTGACAACTAAACGGAGGTAACTCAAGTAAAGAACAACTGCAGTGGTTTAAAAGAAAACATGGAACACGTCAGATTCCTATTCTAGTCCATGGTGTTTATTGTTGTTGAATTTTATACTTTTTCATACCTTGAGAAAAATTTGGGTGCTTCCTATTTTCCACTCATCTTTTCCTTTAATCACAGCCTTGCAGATAGCCTCACAACAGGCTCCAGCTCCACTCTGTGGAGACGGTAAAAGATTTCAAGTTCAGATCTTTGGAAGTGGAGTTCTTTGGAAAAGTTACTATCAGTTAATATCTTACCAGCTGAAGATAAGCTTTTTTAACAGAGTTAATTTTGAGAACATAATGTTTTGCATTACACAATTATTCCATTAGGAATATGATAATTTGTACTGGAAAAGCTTTTTGCAAATACTTATAATATTAATTAGAAATTGATAGTAATGTAAAAATATATAAAATAGCATTTGCATAAACGATTCTGAAATTTTTTAGACTTGAGTTGTTTTAAATCATCAGTGCTTTGGATTTGGCTGCACGTGGACTAAACTTTAGCTTATCAACCCAGTCAGAAACTAATTTTCTGAACTGAAGTCATTCCTCTAACAGGTAATAAATGCTAGTAAACTTTACATAGAACTGCACTTCAAAAGATCTGTACTATCACTTCAGAACAGGTCACATGTATCTCTGTTTCCCAGGATTTTCAAGCATAAATTAACAAAATAAAACTTCATGACTTAACGGTTCTGGGGTCACAGATGTTCGACTTCATGAACACTCTGTAACGGGTCAGGAAGTCCTCAAAGGTGTGTCGCACAGGAAATCCCAGCTTCCTGATTCGAATTGTGTCCATCATCCCGGAGTATCTGAGCTGACGCATGCACAGCTCTCTGTCAAACATCTAGAGGAGAACACAGTAGAGTGGGTTTGATTATAATGTCATTTGATATTTTCGTTGGATTTGATTTTAACTTTTGTATTGTTCCAATTTTTTAAGACTAACATATGGAATAGCAAATTCATTTAAAGTTCACACAAATATCAGAATGATATATTTGTACACAAAACTCACAGTAGCCGTATTTGATGAGAATATTAGGTCAGAGGTCTTAAATCCAATCAAAACAATCATAACAATCATATGGACATGCAAAATCAAGAAACTTAGTATCCCTTGCCTGAACGTGAGGCCCCACCCTGGGGTCAGGCCTGGGTGGGGCCTGGCCAAGTTCAGCTTGAACGAGCAACATGGGTTTGGCTTTCTGTTGACCCAACACCTTGGTGATTTGACCCTGGCTTACCAAGCTGGCCTTTTGGGACATGGACTGTCACCTCACTGGTAGGGAAGGAGTCTGAGATTGTGCACGAGTTTCAGAGATACCTACTAGATTTAGTTGGGCTCACCTCCACACACAGCATGAGTTCCAGAACTGATCTCCTTGAAGATGGGCTGAACCTTATTCCAGTCTGGAGTTGTCCACAATGAGAGCCACTGAGATGAGAGGGTAGCTTTCCTGCACCATCAGGTGGGGGATTGGGCTATGACAGTTGTTTGTGTCAAAGAGCAGTTCAGAGTATCTCAGCTTTTTGGAGACTTTAGTGGGGGTGCTGGAAGTTGCTCCAGTTGGGGACTCCTTTATTCTGCTGGGAGACTTCAATGCTCAGGTAGGTAACAACAGTGTGACATCGAGGGGCGTTACTGGGAGGAATGGCCTCTCCAATCTGAACCCAAATGGTACTTTGTTGTTGGACTTCTGTGCTAGTCACAGTTTGTCCAACACAAACACCATGTTCAAATATAAGGGTGTCCATAAGTGCACATGGCACCAGGACACCCTAGGTTGCAGATTGATGATTGACTTTGTACAGGTGTCTTCTGATCTGCAGACACATGTTTTGGACACTCGGCTGAAGAGAGGAGCTGAGCTTTCAACTGATCACCACCTTTTAGTGAGTTGGATCAGGTGACGGGGGAAGGTGCCGGACAGACCCGGTAGACTCAAACATGTAGTGAGGGTTTGCTGGGAACACCTGGCACCCATCAGGAAGATCTTCAACTCACACCTCTGAGAGAACTTCAACCACATCCCAGACAAAGTAGGGGACTTTGAATCTGAGTGGGACATGTTCCATGCTACAGTTGTCAAAGCAGAATAGAGTAGAGCCTCTGCTCCTCCACATTAAGAGAAGCCAGTTGAGATGGTTCCAGCATCTAGTAAGGATGCCTCCTGCCTCTCTAGGGAGGTGCTTCAGGGATGTCTGACTGGGAGGAGACACAGAGGAAGACCCAGGACAAATGAAGAGACTAAGTCTTTCGTTTGAGTCCACCCAGAAGAGCTGGAAGAAGTGGCTGGGGAAAAGGAGGTCTGGGCCTCTCTGCTCAAGCTGCTGCCCCCATGACCTGACTCTGGAACAGAGGTTGCGCTACACTTTTTTTGCTGTCCGTCATTTTGACTGACAGGGTAAAAAATAAATCTGTCATGATCAATTTTTACCTGTCACTTTATTTTTTAAATAATAATGACTAAACATTCAATAGAATGTGGCTTTTGTCACGTTGGTTTTGCAGTCCTGCCTCAGATGCGGCGCCTGCAGGATTTTATCAGAGAAAATCTCATGTTCTCAATGCACTGTCAGCTCCTGCAGATGCATTCAGTATGGTGTCTAGATCTGAGATGATGATCAGATGGAATCTTTTTTTTTTTTTAGTTTTAATAAGACACCTTCGTGATGTAGACCTGCTCCGTGCGTAAAGCTGAAAATGTCTCTGTGTGAGTGTGATGCCTCAGAGCTGCCTTGTGAAGCCTCGTTGATTTTTTTCTCCGCCTCACCTGGCTTATTTATTAAGTCTTCCAGACTTAAGAGGTCAGGGGTGTTAATTGCAATCTGTCAAAATGACGGACGGCCTTCAGATTTTTTTTTTTAAATAAAACCGCAAAACATTTCATGTCAATTTGAACTGATTCCAAGTAATTTTTCACTCCAGTCAACAAGGGGCACCATTCTGATTATGTAGATAAAAAAGTTTGGCTTTTACACAAAATCTTTTTGAATCTCACTTGAATATTTCAAAGGATGGAGAAATCTGGGAGCTACTATTAGTTCTTCAGTCTAAGAAAATTTTACAAGGAGATTAATTTTTTAAAAACATTTTTCTAAACTTTTTCTTAATCCTGGAAATGTTAATGTGCCTATATGTATGAAGTGGAAGAAAACCCACCTTTTTGATTCTGTACTTGTAGTGCTATGACCAAAAAAAGACACAAACACTAAGAGTTGTTTTACAAAAAGAAGGAAGGAAAAAGTCCCCACATTGTACTTCACACTGTGTGTCAGTGGATTCAGTTTTCCAAGTTACCACATGAGTTTTTTGGCTCATAAGAGGAAGAAGTCATTATTTATTTTGAAGAGTGATGCTGAGGAAAGAGAAAAGGAACTCCTCTCATCTTCTTCAGGCAAAAGCAGAGAGCAGTGAATGTGTAGGGGAGGTACTCTCACAGCTACATCCTTGTTATTCCGTTTCTTCATAGCAGGGTTTAAAGGAAACGTCTCAGCTCTCAGACATCAATCACTATGTCTGCACAGAGTTAACTTTGGACCAGCTTTGTTCATCGTAGATGAGACAGAGCTGTGGGCCGACTCACCTCAGACTGCTTGCTGTTGTTGGGCTTGAAGCAGCGGATGAAGAAAGGCTGGCAGGCAGAGAGAGCCTTCATGAGGGAATCCAGAGACAGACGAAACTGAGCGCTCAGCGTTGGCACTTGTTTACGGTTGTCAGTCTGACCCTGCAGAAATGACACAGAGAAGAAACGACTCATCATAAATCATGCTGAGTCATCCAGAAACTGTATGGGAGTAAAAATAAGTAAAGAAAGATCCAATTCTGCTTTAAAACAGAATTGTAAATACAAAATAACTTTTTAAAAAGTTAATTTAAGACATTAAAATCCTGATAATTTAAACAAATGTAAACCCATAAAAACAAATGTTTAAACAGTTTCCTCTGTCTTTGGTCACCCAATTATTAAACTATTGAGCTTGTTATTGATACTCAAGAAACAAAGATTTTTCCAAATACATTTGACTGATAAATAGAATTAAAAAAGCAAGTTTTAAAGCGGAGCTATTACTGTTTATTCACTCTTAGGAGAGCAGCTTCATTTCAGTTTTTAAAAACACTTTAATAATTTTCTTAGTTTGAATTTATTATAAAGGTGTTTTCTTAAAAACAGATTAATAGCTGAAATAATCAAAAAATGTCACCGTTTCTGGAGTATAACCAGTAGAACGTACATTTACAACAGATTAATTTTTGGAGTCAGCCTGATCCAAGATGGTGCTACTGGTAACTGAACTCAAGTAAAAAAAGAATTAATGTAAAAAAAAAAAAAAAGCCATGAACTTTATCTCAAAACTGGACATTTGCACTATGTTATTATTGAAACACATACACAAACAAATAGAGCTATTTTAAAGAAAATTATGACTATTCAAAGGTAGTTAAAGAGTATGTGCTTTATACATTTTGTTTTGCAGACCAGAGCCTACTTGGTGAAAAGGAAAGGAGTACAAAGGTTCTCATTTTGAACCACCAAATCTACTTGGTAGGCAATTCTAAATTTTTAATTTCCTCTAGCTCTTTAAGATTAGAAGAACACAAAAACAATGTGTTTGAGCTATTAGAAGTTAAAAATACATATATATATATATATTATTTGGAATTAAAAATCAAACTTTACATTTAGTCACCATGAGTAAGGACAACCGGTTAAAAACCAATGAAGTCAACATTATGTAAGGTCTTGCATTATTATATGAATATTATTCTCTATAATAAATAAATATAATATAATAATTATAATTTAGGAGAGGAAAAGCTCCTATAAGTTGAGTAGTGACAGCGCTTGTAAAATAAAATACGTATGTTTATCTGAAGGGGATTTTCTAACTTAAGTACTGCTGTATTTATCAGAAAACCTTTAAAAGAAAACAACTTAACTCTCTTGAAAATTTGTTTTGGTGTGTGTCGTCACCCCCCAAAATTTTTTTCTTCTGGAGATACTGTATTGTGACTAATTAACTTTTTGACTGCGATAGAAACATTTTTGGAAAAAAAAAAACCCTAGTAGATTTGGCTGGTTTCTGTTACAGAGTGCAGTCTGATCAAACAAGGAACATGTTTTTACCCGCAGAGTGCTTTTGGGCGTCATGATGACATTGGAGTTTTTGGTATTCTTCACTCCGTTGGTGGAAAGCTCGTTCTCAAAAATCTGTCGCAGGAGCTTGTTGGTGGACATGTCAATCATCTTGATTATGTCGGAACTGACAGCATCTCTGTTCTTTTCCAAAAACCCTTCATCAAGAAACACAAACATTATTTCATTCACGACAGCCTGCATGAGGTAATAACTGTTTCTTATTATCACACATTTGTTTCTGTACCCTTAGTGTCATAGTAAACCAGGCCTGCAAAGTGTCTTATTCCAAACTCTGCATCATGTTCACTTATAGAGTTGATGTAGATTTTGTTTCCATTGTGCTGAATGTTCATTTTGGTCAGCAGAGTGGCGTCTGAACCCTTGGACATAAAAAAAAAAAGGCTGATCAGATGCAGAACAAGCAAAAGCAAGGAGCCATATAAGTCACAACAAGAGTGTAAAGAATGACGACAGCCAGCAGGTGAAGTGTACCTTAGGAAACAGAGTCTCTTCATCAATCAGAGCCAGCACGTTACAGGGTTTCACTGCCAGAAGGTTGAGGATGTTCTGGTTGTCACTATATTTGATGTTGTCCCACACAACGCCCTCTTTCAGGTACTCTTCTTGCTCAATCTTGAAGATGTGGGCCACAAAGAACTGCTGCAGCTTCTCGTTGGCAAAATTAATGCAAAGCTGCTCAAAGCTGTAAAAACAATGGTATTAAAAAGAAAACCATGTGTATCTGTATTAGAATTCTCATAACTACACAGGTATAATGCTGTCAGGCTGTGTGGACCCTCCTGACCTGTTTGTTTGGAAGTTCTCAAAGCCAAATATATCCAGCAGGCCGATGGACAGGTAGGAGGATTTGTGTTTGCTGCTCAGCTTCTCGTAAATGGTGCTGTTGATTTTCCTAACGATCCATGTGAACAGCTTGTTGTAGATCGCCTGTTCAGAAAAAATTAGTTTTTGATGCACATAAATCACTCAAACTACAGAGCAGGACATGAAGCAAGACCATAAATATATACAGTAACTTGCTATGTAATTTTATGAATACAGCTGGTCCAATCTAGGATATTAGCCTCAAGAAAATAAAGCAACAAGCAACCTGATTCTCAAACCCAATGAGACACTTCCTCAACAAATACAACACGCAGCATTTCCTCAGTTTGGATCAGTCACTCAGGTTGGGATCCAACAAGGAAGCAGTTGATTTACAGTCAGTGACTCAGACTCATTACCTTAACGACAGCGTCTCTACAATCAGTGGCCTGTTCGGAGCTCAGGGGTTTGGTCACTTTCTCTCTGTTGGTCATGAAGGAGCGATGGGTCAAACTCGTCGCCATAGACGTTCTCTGGACCTGCAAAACAGACACACGAGAGGTTTAAATACCTATATTAATATGTAGATACTGACTACTGAAGATGTCAAACACAGACCTCCAGCAGCGATGATGCGTTGCTGAAATGCTGAGATTTGGCCACCACGCTGGTTTCCAGGTTGTTTTCAATGGAGGCTGGTTTAACCACATGGCACATTGAAATGGACAAAAACAAACAGACAGAACTGATTTTAGTAAGAAATCCTGGGACTTGAACACAAAATCTAACGTCTGAACATTTTATATACATGTTTACATTATACTTATTGTTCGGCAATAAAAGGAGAGGGAAGATGACTGTTTTTGTTTGTGCCAGTGTGTGCACACACGTTCAATTCAAGACGGTCGCCACAGCTGATCAAAATGAGCAAAAACAGAAATGGCTATGCCTTTTCACTTTTACAGATATTGAGCTAAAATTGAATGTGGTAGAAGCTGAATCATTTCAACATAAACTTGGAGCCTAACATATTGATACTGTATAAATGAGACTGTTTCAAAGTTTGATCAAAACAGCTACAAATTTGCCATTTTTCATCATAAAGATCTTAGTCCAAAACTCTGGCATGAAGGGCTATGGGGGATATAATTCACTTCACAGGTTTTTATTTAATATTTAGTTTTAACTTGTGTGATGATGTTCCACCATCTGTCTTTATTAGACCAACAGAATGAACCAACATGACTCACATCAACTTTAGTTTTCATTTCAAAGCTATTCAGTGATGCTTTCTTTGGCTTCAGGACTAAAAAAGAGTCTTTGGTAGTAAGCATTTAGTTTAGGTGCCAAAACTATTTTCGAATATCCTGTAAAACCTTATTAGAAAGATAATAACAATAAAAAAAAGAATCTAACTCATGATGCGGAGCAGCAAACTGCTCCAACTTCTGCTTTTATGAAAATAAAATGCTGAATTTAGCCTCTTCATTGAAAGCAGCTTGTTTCCCCCACCTTTCTTTTGTTTTTTGGTAAATAAATAAAGACATTTTGTCATTATCCCTTAGCAAAAAGTAGTATATGCAAATATCCATTAAGTATATTATTTTTAAACTAAAAATAAAAGAGCATACATCCAGTTTACTTTTTATGTACTTATCTGAGATATACACTGAAAGAACATTTTCACACAGACCTGTTCATTTATAGTATATTTCAAGATTAAACTAAAGGTATACTTAGTATACTTTCATAAACGTATTGTGGGCCAATTTAGTCCTAGAAGTCTACTTGTTAGTATACTGCTAGTATACTTGTATCTGTGTACATGGTAAATAAACGTACACTTAGGCAAATACACTTTAGTATACTTAATGACATGTACTTACATTAAATATACTTCTTTTTGGTAAGTTTACAAACTTAAAAAGACATTATAACAGTATACTCAATGTATACTTTTTATAAACTAAAAAAGTCCCAATTTAGTACGAACAAATATTAAATCAGTATGAGCTATTGTCCTGTACATTTTGTATGATTCTCTATGATATAAACAAATCCAGTCATCTGCATATAATTACATTGACACACAATAAACTTTTTATTTTATTGCGCGTTTACTGTTGTTTTGGCAACAGTGTGACAGAAAAGACTGTAGAGTGGTTGTTAAATAAACACTTGTGTTGTTGAGAAGTTTTGATATAATAATTTAATGCCTAACTAAATTACACCGTGCAGAGCAAACTCCTGTTCTGATCCTAATCTAAAGACACTCACCTTCAAAGCGAATGTTTCCCAGGTGTAATATGGCTGCCAGCAGCCTGAGGATTTCCTGGAATTGGCTTTCAGAGAAGGTCAACGTTTTCATAGCCGACCGTATACGGGTGAAGTCCTTATTGTCATCTCTGGCTTCGCACACGATGCAGCCACCCTTCAGGAAAACAAAGTTTGTATCATTTGCAGCTAAACCTGTTTAAATATCTTATTGTGTCAGAATAACTAGTACTTGTTCATCACTAATACCTTTGTAAGGAAGTTATATTCCTTGGCATAGCCAAGGCTTAAAGATTTCCTCTCCTCTGGCGTGATTCCTGCCAACATGCAGTAAAATATGTGGTAGTTTCGCTCTTCTAAAGCCTGAGGGTGAAGGAAAAACAGAACAAGGACGTTTGAAATGTTCACATTCTTTCTGTGTTTTCATTGGTGAAGATTCCAACACTAGCCTAATTAATCTAATAATAGACTAATTTAAACCACCCTGCAGCAGATACGATTGGGAGATTTTATTGATTTACTGTGCAGACCCACCCAATTCAGAGATAATGAACAGGATATGTTTGGACAGAGCTGTCTCACCTGATGGCACACGCGGGACTTCTCTAGGAGGTACTGCTCCACCCGAGCTCCTTCAATCACTCCTTCTCTGTTGAAGAAAATCTCAAGGTATTTCCCAAAGCGACTGGAGTTGTCGTTGCGGATTGTTTTTGCGTTACCAAAAGCTGCAAATGACACCATAAGGGGTGATTTCACTTCTTTTTTCGTAATCCATCAGGACATATTAACAACTTTGGGTTTTGCGATTCACATAGATTGGAAGACTCTGGGGTCTAAATGGGTTTAGTACCTTCCAGAACTGGATTAGACTCCAGAATCTGCTTTTCAATCTGCTGTTGGGAGAGCTCTCCGCTGACTGCTGCCAAGTACTGAAGGATGAGTTTGGTGCTTTCTGTCTTCCCCGCTCCAGACTCCCCACTAAATCAAAGACAGGGAACAAATGACTCAAATAGAACCCAAAAATATTAATAACCAGCATATGTTAGACTCTGACCTGATGATGCAACACTGGTTTCTGTGGTGGCGTGTCATATTGAAGTAGCAGCTCTCAGCGATGGCAAAGATGTGCGGGGGCAGTTCTCCAAGCTTTCGCCTGTGATATAACTTCACCTAAAGAACAGCATGAGGCACCTCACTGGTGGTGATCTCAGACTACAGGAATTTATGCTGGATGTTGATCCAAGCCCATGCCTCCATACGCTTACCTGCTCTGTTGAATATATTGGAAATGTCTTGTATGGATTCACTGCAACTAGCACCGAGCCAATGTAGGTC